CTCTATAATTGTCACACTTCTTTACAATCACGCTGTTTTGTATCCCAAGTGTGTGATTATAGAGAGGTTTGACTGTATTAGATATTATCTAAAATTGAACTTTTTTGGATGTTGCCTTATCAAAGAAGAAAGAAAACCTGGTTTTCTGAAATTTCGTAATTAATTTATTATCTGTACTTAAATATTATACATATATTATATACTAATATAATATAATTTAAATTTTTAGATATTAAAGAGTTTTAGTTAACTAAAAAAATATATAAAATGTGTTGAAGATAAAGACAGTTTGCCTATTAAAATTTTAGAAATTTCTAAAGTTTAGATTTTGAACCAGAATTAAAAGATTCTATAAAAGAATTAAAAAAATCTATGAAGGAAATTAAAGAATTAAAAGATTCTATGAAGGAATTAAAAGATTCTATAAAGGAGTTAAAAACAAATAACTGATACTGTTGAACCTCCCAAACCGATATGCATGGTGGACCGATTTTGTATCAGTCTTGAGAGGTTATCGGATTTGGAAAACACTATAAACTATTAGATTTATATAACGGAAATGGACTTTGTAGACTAATTTTTTATCAGATTTGACAGGTTATCGGTTTTGAGAGGATCGATTTAGGGAGGTTCATCAGTAAGTTCAAATTTCAGCATCAGCCAATTTCAGTATCAGCTGTGACAATAATTATTACGACAAGAAAGGATCATAAGAAACTTTATAACTAAAGTAAACAAATTAGATTTGCACGGTCAGGGAAGTTACTAGCAATTTTGTGGATTAAGTTTTGCAGATTGCCAACAAATCAGCAGAAAAAGGATATTCTTAGAGATATTCATACTTGGTTATTACTGAGCACGAATTGATATTGAAAGGATGAGAATAAGTCATAATTATTTATTTAAAATCAATAATTATGAGAAATTTTCAAGTAGGCTTTTGTTACTATCACGGGATCGATGTTGAGACGAATTAGCACAAAGAATTTGGGCATTACCAAAATCAGTTGAAATAAAAGACTAATAGAATTTTTAAACCCATTATCTGTTAATATTACAGAATTGGCGTAGAATGAGGATAGATTTTTGGAATGGATTTAAAAGTAAATTCGTTTTTGATCTGTGTCACAACTTTAAAATTAGAAACATCACTGACGCAATTTATAATTATTATTAATTTACATATTAAAATCTCCGTGTACAGTGCTGACCTGGGACACCATCACAAATTGTACCCGTCAAGAAATCTCTACCCGGGTATTAGTAATAATAATCCTCCCGTGATCTTGAATAGTGATCGGGGGATTATTAAATTATCAAGTTATCCGGGTAATTTATTATAGCTATAAAATAAAATGTCTACCCTGGTACAATCTATCACGTAGGACATTTATGGTTTTTCGCGAAGCTATCTTATATATATATATATATATTGTATATATTATAATTATTTCGACAATACGTAATTATTACATCTGAATGAATGGTTTCTTAACCAAAACGAGTATAACAATTTTCATTTTATACGATCAAATTTTATATTCATTTTTAGTTAGCAACAAACAAAATTTCGGATTTTACGCGTGCTGCTATAAATTATCAGATTTGATCAATCAAGTTTCATAAAAGGTACATCCGTACCAGCAGTATCGTTTTATAGGTAAAAAAATATTTTAATTTGATCTACTTGATCTAGCTACGAATAGTAATTGAAAATCACCATTAAATAGTATAACGATAAGATTTGATCATAGTTGTCAAATTTGGTTAGTGCTCCCAAAAAATTGGAAAGAACATTAATTACGTCAAAATTCATACCGATACCCATATATTTAAGACTAACCAATCAGATCTCATAAAGGATTCCGTTTTATAATACGAGGACAACCTAATAAATTTTTTTGAAAGGTCGCGAGAAGCTTTTATATTAGTTCTATTTTCAAGAATATAAAATATTAGTTAATAATCATGACCGAAGAGATAAGAGATAATAGAGAAATTAATGAAGTTAAAGTTGAGAGCGATTACGATAAAAAACGTCGTGAAGCTCTTGCAGAAATTGACAATGCCAAATTTGGATGGTTTCATATCAGGACATGTATCGTAGCGGGTGTGGGATTTTTTGCTGATGCCTACGACATTTTTGCCATTAATCTTGTGGTGGTCATGTTAGGCTATGTGTATTATGGAAAAAGTTCTCTCCCTACAGATGTCGATTTGAGTTTAAAACTTGCCACTCCACTTGGAACTTTTATTGGTCAATTCGGTTTTGGTTTGTTAGCTGATCTTTTGGGTCGTAAAAAGGTATGACATTTATTATCAAAATTCATTATTTTGAGTTTTATATATTTATTTATTATATTTTAAATTTTTTTTTATCATTTGTTTTCTTAAAATTTTTAGATGTACGGCATAGAGTTGTTGATAATCATGTTCTCTACATTTGCTATTTGCCTTGTTGCGAACTCCTATGTTTACGATCCTAATTCAAAAACCTTCGTTTCGAATGCTAAAGTTATCTCCGCTCAAGGCCTTATGTTATTCTGGCGTATTCTCTTGGGCATAGGAATTGGTGGTGATTATCCTCTTTCCGCAAGTAAGTTTTTTTTATATATATATATGAGTGCGTGAGAGTGACCAGGAAATAAAATTTGTTAAATCATAAATTTTATTTCCTGATTTTCACTCTCACGCACTCATATTTTATTATGTACGTAATTTTACTACGTCATCTTACATGTCGTCTCATGTGACCGTGCCCTTTTATTTAAAGTTATCGCTAGTGAATTCGCTACGACAAAACGTCGTGGTGCTATGATTGCTGCTGTCTTTGCTATGCAAGGATTTGGAATCTTATCAGCTGCTATAATTTCAACTATAGTTGTGGCTGCTTTCCATAATGCCATCTCCCCAACTAATTATGCAAACATTGATTACATATGGAGAATCGTCACCGGTTGTGGTGCTATTCCTGCTTGTGTCGCTCTTTATTACCGACTTACTATACCTGAGAGTCCACGTTATACTATGGATATTGAACGTAATGTCGATCAAGCTTCTACAGATATCTCCACTGCATTGGAGTCTAACAAATACAAACCTCGTGATCAGAACGTTGTCGTTAAAGTTGATGCTCCAGAATTTAGCGTCAATGATTTCTTTTCTCATTTTGGCAAATGGAAAAATGGAAAGGTTTTATTCGGCACTGCTTTTACGTGGTTCGTTTTAGATATAGCTTTTTATGGCGTCGGTCTTAATAATAATATTATCTTGCAAAACATTGGTTTTCTTGGTGATGGTAAAGATCCTTTTGAAACGTTATTTAAAGCTGCTATTGGTAATATTATCATCGCATTGTTGGGTACTGTACCTGGTTACTGGATTACTGTATTCACCATTGATATTTGGGGTCGACGTCCAATTCAACTTATGGGTTTTGCTGTTAATACCATACTATTCATTATCCTCGGAGCTGCATATTGGCAAATCAGATCTATTTCTTGGCTTTTTATCGTAATATTTACATTAGTTCAAGTAAGTTATATTAAAAAAATCTTTTAAACTTTATAAATTTTTATTAATTATTTTTATTCTTCAGCTCTTCTTTAATTTTGGTCCCAACGTTACTACTTTCGTTGTGCCTGGTGAAGTATTTCCAACTCGTTACCGTTCAACTGGTCATGGAATAAGTGCTGCATCTGGCAAATTAGGTGCGATCATTTCACAAGTTGGATTTTTCAAATTGAAGGACCTTGGAGGGGCTCCCGAGTCACTTGTTTTCATAAACTGGTTATTCGTGATCTTCGCTGTCGTTATGTTTTCTGGTATGGTTGTCACATACTTTTGTATACCAGAGACAAAAGATCTCTCATTGGAAGTCTTGTCAAATGAAGACCAAGAAGGCTTTGTTAGAGGTGCACATAAACCTACTATTGTCAAAGTCCCCAACAACAACAACAACAATAACAACAACAACGACAACAACAACAATAACAACAACAACAACAACAACTACAATAATAATAATTAAATGATCTTGTTAAACATGATAAAAACAAAACCGAAGGATCACTACCTAAAATTAAGGCTGGCCAAAAAAAAAGTCGATCACAATATTGATACTGTATACAAAATTATGAAATCTAAGTTGAAAGATTTGTTTATACAAATTTAAAATTTTATCTAGAGCTTACGAATTTGGGCGACTTCTTCGCCCGATTGATGTTGCAGTGGTGCTAACTTTACTGAATCCTTCAATTTGTAAAATATTTTTAATATATAATTATTATATACAGAATATTATAGTTATTATAATAATTATATAATAAAAATATTACATGATTTTTTTTAACAATTTTAATTATCATTATACTATTTAAATAATTTAAAATGTCTATGTTTATTATAATTCAATTGTAATCATATTTTCTAAAAAATTAAAGATTCAGAAAGAAATTAAAACTATGGTATCGTTTGCTGTTATTTTCGCTATTTAAATTTTATGTAGATTATAATTATTTAAATTTATTTAAATTACTTTGACAAGTGATCATTATAAATAAATGCTATTATCCTTATTATTATTATTAAAAATTAAGAAATATTACAGTTAAATGTAGTTAATACAAAATTATTTTATTTATAGTTTTAGGTAGTTTGAAATTTTAGTTTATAATTAAATAAAATTATTTTAAATGTTTTAAATGCCGTCTTTATGCTTATTTTTATACATGAAATAATAGATTTAATAAAATGAATTTAACGAATTAATAATTGTTAAAAATGCTATGTTTAGACTTGACATGGTCTCTTTCCCCCGGTCTCCTCACTTATTCCCATTTAGAGTTAACTTTGCTAACATTTTGGCTTTGGTTTAAAATAGATATTTAAATTGCTACAAATAGGAGGAAACGTCGATGTTACACAACTGGTTTTACACATGGTGTGAAACACATAAAAAAATTATTTTACAATGCTTGATCGGACTTGATCAGTCAGCTAGTACATGTTATGATTATAATCCAGCACCATTTTTTATTATAAAAAATGATGTTGGATTATAATCGTAGCATGTACTAGCTGACTGATCAAGTATTGTAAA